ATGTCAAATGTACCCTAATGCTTATTTTTTCGTATACATTTTTTGTTATTTGTAACAATAATTTTTATTTATTTTATTAGTCTGTATACATTTATATTTATAATTCGCTCGTTATTTTATTTTATTTGTATTTAAATTTTTGTTCTATTTTATTTATATTCGAATGTTCTTAGCCTGACGATGGCCAACTGATTTGGCTGAAAACGTTAGCTTTACATTAAAATTTTTTCTCAGCGAATTAAGGTGTTGTGTTTTTTGATTTATATACTAGTGCTGAGTGAGTGTACATCAATCAGAAATTCCTTCACTTTTTTAATAGTAGGGCTGGATTACTTTGTTGTATGTATCTAATTTTTTAATAGGATAAGCAAACATGGAATTGCAAAGCCTCTTTTATATTTACATTTATATTAGTTTATATAACACAAAGTTTTTATCAAAACCTTTATCAAGTATTTCATCAGCTAGTAACAGGTTGTAGGTATGTATCTAACCTAAAAGACTAATTTTGACTTGAAATTTTCTAATATGATTCCAGTCAGTGCATTACAAATTTTTAACACTTAAAAATATTTATGAATCAACTGGCTTATTAATAATGCACAAAGTATATTATTTTATGATATTAAAACATTTTTTAAATATCTTCTATAGATTTTATTCTACATACTTCTATTTAAATGAATTTTTACATTAAATGTTGAAAAGATAAAATAATTATAATCTGAGAATTATTATGTTAGTAAATTTAATCAAATAGTAAAATTTTGTAACCAAATGTTTTGACCAATGATAAAATTTATTTTATTTTCATTTTCAGAGTTATATCCAAAGTCTCCAGAAAAAAGTATGCCCTCCTCCCGACGATCCCTTCCCTTCAGATCTGACGCATCTTACTGTTCTAAATCCCTCGGAAAGCACAGCCACCACCATGAGTCAAGTTGCATAGCAACAACGTTTTCCTAGAGAATCTATTTACATTGAAGAAATTTCACAACTGCCATTTGGAATTTTCAGTGATAAAGAACTGTTGATGTTTATCTGCAGAGAACAGGTGCTAGCAGTATGAAGTGACCTTTAACCAAAGCGAGGATTATTTGACTTCAGAACCTATTATAAAGAAAACCACAACCATTTTAGAGCAAAGGAAGATACTGCTGGTGCTATATACTGGGTGCTGTGTATGAATCTGCAGTATTGTTAGATGATCAATAGCATTATTCGATAATGCTTCACAAAGTGAAGATGATTTTGTCTTGATTCTAATTACAATTTTTGATTGTTTTTGGCAACGGTTATTGTTTGAAACTGTTGGTGTTCAAAAACAATTTGGATAAGTATTTTAAATTCTACAACAAATTTTTCATGTTTATGTAATTGGTTTTTAAAAATTGATTTATTTTATTGAAGTTATACAGAACTTATTTCAACAATTAATAATCATCATAGACATTTTTTGGTAAATAATTCTTGTTTCTTCATTATCCATCCAGGTAATTTGATGCATACTGCATCTTATACAGGTATCTACAAAAAAAATTATATTAGTGCCAAACTTACTGGTTTGGCGCTGATATGTAATTTGTGTTGAAATGTACAGCATGTGATGTGACAAGTCCAGAATATTGCAACTGTTAAATGTTAACTTTTTACATTCCCATAAAAAAAAAAAGAAGAATGTTATTTCCTAGCTTCTGTCTGTGATGTCAAAGCAATTGATATTTAATTTTGAGCAGATGGCAGCTAGCACTTTTCAAGATTCATAGCATGATACTTGCAGAAGTCTAAAAAAACCAACAAAAATAAAAATATTTGCCCAACACTGCCTCAACTCAATATACATCTAGTAGGTTGGAGAATGTAGTCGTACACCATACATACATATCTCATAGAGTTGTAGTATTAGTTAATTTCGCAATAAAAATTCTCTCATCGGTATATTCCCGCAGATAAATGGAAAAATCTTGTTTCAACTAAACGACCTCACTCGTTTTCCATTTATTGCTTTTTGCTCACTTTTTATCTGTAAGTTTTTCAATTCAGTTGTTGTATGTTGTTTTTCTTGATAATTACTTGAATATTTTAATTTTTTGTGATTAATAAATTATTTAGTCAACAATGGATCTGGTGATTTATTAAGAAAATTTACCACAATACTATTTGTGATTTATAAATTTTTTCAATTTTATACATCACAAATAACAATGATGACACAGGTTAACATTGATTCTGAATTTGCTAAGTAATTGTCATTATTTATTAATTTGATGTAGCTGAATATGAAAATGGCATTTGGCTTCCTCCATCATGGGCAGTTTTTGTGCAACATTTGTCATGATCTTTTTTTTATATACATTTCAAGAGCATGGCACATGTTAACAAGCTCTCTGATGCCAAGGTGAAGGAAGGTGTATTTCTGGAATAATAAGGAAAAAATAAATTAATAAAAAAATGACCACCTTTAAATCACAATAACTGGTATTGAAAAGTAGGCGTGGATCAGTTTTGTGGTTGCAGTTACATATTTTCTTGGTAAAGCATAACATTGAGAACAAAAAGTATGGTCTAAATAATAATAACTTTTCAAGTTGAGATGCAATATAAACCTTAAACTTCATTATTTGTATTCTCCTTTGGAACGTTTTTCTTAGAACTTTGAAGCCATAAGAGCACAAATCATGAAACGGTGATATCAAGGAAGTTGGAGTAATCACATGCTACAGATTACTGCTGGACCATCAAAAGAAAAAAAACTGAAGAGGTCCATAAAAGAAAACTATCTGATTATTATTTCACAATAAAAGAACACATTTCTGAAGAACGATGTGTGCAAAGAAGAATGTGCAGTATTTAATGAGTGCAGTTTGTTCAAAGTTACCTTTTTCTTGAGTGTTTGTTGACTTTGTTATACCTTTCGATGATAATTAAACGTATAGAAAGTGTTTATAACAAATCTCGTAACAGATGGCACCACACACAATTTTATTTATTATATTGTAATTAAAAATATAAAAGTTATTTCATAAATAAAAGCTCAACTGCTGGAAGGTTATGCAACTCGTTGCTGGATTTAAAAAGTTTTAAAAACCGTCTTTATAATTATGCGACATTCCTTATCTCTCTTAATTAATGCAGTGTCCATGGCACCTGAATTTTTTGCGAACATCTTTTCAAGGTCTTACGGATAGACCAGTAGTATTTATTTGCAGTTTTCTCGAATAATATGATTTATGTTTATAAAGTAAACATACCAATGGTTGACCTTTGGTACATTAAAATTTTATCAATTAAACAATGCCCTTTGAATAAATTTTATTGCATGCAGATAATTTTTTTTATTTTGTACAAGAGCTCAGCAATACTTTGCGTAATAACACAAAGCATCGAGTTTGTCATTTGTTAATTTAAACTAAATTTAGTTTTACAATTCTAGTTATTAAAGTAAGTATAATTCAGAGATCTGGTATTAGTACACTTAAAATAGATGTATGATGATAATTGATCAATAGATCAGCTACTAGCTTTTTAAATGAAAAAAAATAATGTAATTTAGGATTACGTAAACACTTAAGTGACACTGTTCAAGAAGTAAAANAGCACCCAGCTATATTTGATAAGGTTTCTCATAAAATTAATGTATACTGCAAAAAATTATGGTATTTACAAATGTTACTTTTCATACTTTACTTAAATTTTTTTGTATAAAATATGAGAGTTGAAGTGTTTCCAAGTTGTTTTTTATAAATAAAACAAACCTTTTTAAGTATTTTGTTTACCAGTTTTCATAAACAAGATGATAATTGACACTTCTGAAAAAACTCAAAATCCTTTCAAAATTAATTATAAAATAATAATGGAGGAAAGAATTATTCATAAAACCTTAGGATCTAAAATTTTCAATTTGTAGATTTTTGAAATTAAATACTATTCTTTCTAAAATTAAAGTTTTGTTTGTTATTTACAATTACTACCTTTTGTGTTTCTGTTGTCAATAACATTGGATGTTATTGATATTTCTTACTGTTTTTCCCTACAGCTTTGATGGTAGAATTAAATCAAGAAATATTCAGTGTTGAACAACATTGAAACTGTTGTTTTATGTTTACTCATAAGTGATGTAAAAAATGAATAGCCACTATAGTAACAATATTCATATGTCATTATAAATTAAAATTACTGTAAATCACTAGTTTTTTCAAATAATAACCACTACTATTTTAAATTGCATATTTTCTCTGCAGTTACTGGTACTATTTGAGTGCAAATATTATTTTCTTTACATATACCTGTTTGATGTCTGTTATTAATAAAGTATATAAGTATTTGAGTATTTATAAAAGGTTGATGTTTAAAGCAAACTACACTTGAAATGGCAACTGATATCTTAATAACAAGTGTTACTTTCTGTATACCAGTAATAAAAAATAAATAAATAAAATGCACCTACTGTGTACTATCTACTTATATATTTTATATAAGTCATTTTCTATTGTAGTTTGTTTTTTATTTATTTAATGAACAACATAACTAATCAATATCAAAATACAATATTTATTTTGCACCTAAGTTTTCAGAAATTGTTGAATAATAGACATGGCTACTGTTTGAGGATGGTCATAATTCCAAGCAAAAAAAAGTGCAATTACTATTTGAATAGAACTAGTATATGCTGATTTTTAATAATCAAAATTAGAAAGCTTCAGCATTTGAATTCCGATTAATCAGTAAATAATATCTATTGATTTCATTCTAGTGGGACCCTCCAGAAAGTCTCGGCAAGTTAACTTACAGAGGATAAGACAAGAAGAATCTCGTGCTGAACAGCGACAGAGGAAATATCGATATCTCTATCAAGTGCGGACAGCCCATGGAGATGTCATATCACAAGTAAGTGAAATATAACAGATTATAATTGAATTTATAACAAAATTATAATATATTGCAGGTATCAAAGTTATAACTTTCTGGAATTGTTTTAAAAACGAATGGAAATTGTATTTTAAATTAATAGAAAAAAGTAGACACAATTTTTTTAATAACACACTTTTTTCACAATTCATGAAGCATTCAAAGTTCATATAACCATTACTATAGTATACTCACAACAATTACTTATAATATTGATGTGGTTGCAAACATAATACAGTATTCATAACTTGCAGTATTCATGAGTAATTATACTTGATGCTTGATGACAACAAAATTATAGAATTGACTCTGTACCTGCAGAGAGAAATTTAATTGATGAACAAGATAAAGTTTTCCAAAGCTGATGGAATTAAAAATTATAAGTTCAACATTTAATTAAAATTATAATATATGTTAGTATTTAGTGTGATACATAATAATTTGAAAAAATATAATTGCAAGCTTTCGATGTTTAGTTTTTATCATTTATTATATATGATTTACTATGTTGTTTTAAAAACTTAATTATTTCTTTGTTTAAAGAAATACATTTTTAAAATAAAAAAGAATCCAAATAAAAGTATATGATCTGTTTTATGAAGATTTAAACTTTATATATATAAAAAGAAAATCTTTTGGTTTTTTCCCTCCTCTAAAAGATTAATCTAGCAATGCAAAGTTTATATATTATCTATGTTTAATTGAAAATTTTTCTTATTTTATTTTCTCCAGTTAACATTGCAATATTAATTTTGTATACTACGTTGTAGTTGATGTTATGTAAAACTAATGAGAAAACAAATAAAAAATAATAAGTTCCTTAATAATTTGTTTACAGTAAGTTTAATAATATAATCTAATGACTAAATAATTCTAGAATATCTTGTGACATTCTGCAGCTGCTAAAACAGTAGTGTATCTGGCATTCAATGTTTTTGTGAATAAGATTGTAAGTAGATCTTGAAACATTACAATCATATTGATGCTACTAATTTTTATTATAAAAAATAATGCAATATCAAATTTAATCAGAATATTGTTGACACTAAACAGAACCTTTCCTTGAACAATGATGCACAAAGGAATAATCTTACTATTATTTAATATTAATGATTAATTTTATACCTTATTTTTGCAGAATGACTGGCATGCTGGTCAATCCGGGGAGACCATGAAATCAGATATTTCCATATGGTAAAAACCAGCATGCCAGCTTATCTTGGGGGGAATGCTGGCATGCCAGTTTAAGCAAAGCTATACATTTCTTTCTAGAGGTGCATTAAAAAACAAATGAGTTTTTATTCTAAAACTGTGAAACTGTCAGCATTACATCAAAACTATGATTATATGTTTAATTTCTTTGTTTTTTCTTCTTTCTAATGATGTAAAATACTCGTGGAATTTTGAGAGTGCTTTTTTTTAATGTGTATTTTATTGTTATTTGATTCAAAAATGCAAACATAAACATTAAGTTTAAGAAATTTCCCATAAGTTATCTCAGCTTGCACCTATTAACATTGGCTTCATGTGAAATTTGAGAGGATGGTATTATTTTTAAGGTTGGTATATAGTCAGTGTAGCCCACACTGCCTAACTACTGATACTACTACTACTACTACTACTACTATTTTTAATGTTAATAAGTCATTAATTGTTTTATTGTCTTGTGAACAAAAACTCTTTTCCTGATTTTAATGTTATTTTATTATACAGTCGACCCCCCCTATAAGATATAGATACGTTCCAATTTATTAGGAATCCGATTTCTTACAAGTCGTTCCAATCACAGCCCGACACGTGTCAAGTTTACGGACTACGGCTGATTGAAAGGTTTTC